AACCCTGAAACAACCTCTGGGCTGATCAAAGTTGGGGCATGGCTAACTCACAGATTGAACCCTGGAATAACCTCTGGGCTGATCTAAGTCAGGGCATGGCTAACTCATAGATCGAACCCTGAAACAACCTCTGGGCTGATCTAAGTCAGGGCATGGCTAACTCACAGATTGAACCCTGAAACAACCTCTGGGCTGATCTATGTCAGGGCATGGCTAACTCACAGATCAGACCCTGAAACAACCTCTGGGCTGATCTAAGTCAAGGCACGGCTAACTCACAGATTGAACCCTGAAACAACCTCTTGGCTGATCCAAGTCAGGGCATGGCTAACTTACAGATCAAATTGGAACATAGCTGGATTAATTTCACGAGGAAGAAAAACTGGAATACCCATATATTAAACCCCTGAAACAAAGGGACAAACCTAACCCAAGTTCTCATGTGATGCCGAGTCCAGGAATCAAACCTGAGAACCAAGGTATGAAAGGGGATTGCACTAACCAAGTGCGCTACTCCACCTGTGATCCCTAATAAGGTAGATACTGTATACATTTAAATAAGAGCTTTTTTGCAGACCTTAAGAGCATTTAGATGTCTTTTTCTTGTTTCTGGATCAGCATCTCCTTGCTCCACCATTGGTGAGATGTCATTGATCAGCTGCTTGAATGCTGATCAAACAAATAACAAACAAATTCTTATGATTTTTAACTTCCTGGGAAAGTTACAAGTATCTAGGATAAAATGGTAGTGATGAAACCCCGAGTAACAAGAAATGTCTGGTGCAAACATGAAGCTGGGTGGGGGGGGGGAGGATTGGGTTAGGGCTGGCCATGGGTGAATAGCGCTATCCGACAAATAAATCTTATCCAGTGGATAAATTTATTGGATAACTGCATTGACTTATCCACTGGATAAAGATTTATCCATTGGATAGTGCTATCTAACCATCCAGAAGTGTCATATGATGTCTTTGACTAACCACTCACTGTAAATAACAAAAAAAAAAGGAGTTACTTTTTAAAAATCTTGTTACATATTAACAAACCTTTCAGTAATGTTTGCAATGCTTCATCTCTGAGAGCATTCTCGACATCATTAAAGTGCCTATAAAAAATATATAACTTGGTTTTTATGCACTTTATTTATGATATGAATTAGAATTTCAGTGAAATGAAGTCCACTATTAGCCTTTTGTTTCTCACCTGATAAGACTAAAATATGCATCAAAAGTCTCTATTATTGCACATGGACCTTGAGTACGCAAATCGACGAAACAATCTGAAAGATCCAACAGTTTTTTCGTAATATTACTTGCAATTATCTACGTAAAATGTTGTTCACGTCGTTCACGTGTCGTATTTGAACAGAAAATAGAGTGTATGTACAGCCTGTATACCTCTACAAAAAAGCAATTTTCCCAAAGGTAAGGACGACAGTACAACCCAGCACTCCACTAAAACTACAGAACCTAAGCCTGCTTAAGATATATATTCTATGTTTTAAAAATGAATAAAACACCAAGAAATTAAGATAATTAACGATGCGACTTACCCGCCAGTTTGTTTGGTAACGATCTGCACGAAAAAACTTCCTCTACAACGTAACAACCAGGTTCCCCATTCAATAAATCATCCGTAGATAACGGGATTACGAAATCCACGTCCATTTTTAAGCGTTTATAGTGTTTTTGGGGGCCCCAAAGTAGAATTTTTTGTCAACTGTTATATTTTCTTCTCACAAGTCAAAAATATGGCCGCCTTTTTTTCGAACTGATTCTAACCAACCAATCACAAGCTAGTCCCATGTTTCACTCTTTCATTAACGAACGCCTGTTCAATATCCGCTCACAAACAAAAGTCATCGATCATCGAGCAGCTGAAAATCCAATATTTCAGCTTTCTTTATAGTCCCTTTGAAAGGCTTTTCCTATAAAGGTAAGGATTTTTAGCGATTTTTAATGTAAGGAGGATTTTATATTTCATTTTTGTTTGAAAATCGAAGCGATATTTTGTCTATGAAGCCGCATGTGATTGTGATTAAAACGAGATGAAAACCATATTTTGAGAATCATTCAACCATTTGACTCCATATTTCTAGTTTTAAAGCTAATTTTCCGAAAACTCCTGCTATATGGTACTAAAATTGAAGAATTTCTAGTTAATTTTACGGGCAATCTTCAAGATTGGGTAAAGTCGAAAATCTTCATCATACCCTCCATTAGAAATTCACGCGTTTTTCTTGCTGTTATGAAGGAAAAAACATTATAAATATTCTGAGTATTACTTAGCTTATTAATCATTAATAAGTTGGGTTGATTCCAGTATATTTGACGAAAAAGAATCATGAATAAAATGAAATCTTTTACTCCCTTTAAATAGGGCAGTTCATTCGCAATACAGGTCTGAATTTTCAAATTTTGTATTTCGGTGCTTTGTGCTTAGTGTTGTTAGCCTTTTATCTCCAACATTTTAATATATTCTGCATCCCTGCAAGGCGCCCCTATATGCAAGGCGCCCCTATATGCAAGGCGCCCCTATATGCAAGGCGCCCCTATATGCAAGGCGCCCCTATATGCAAGGCGCCCCTATATGCAAGGTAACGTTACCAACCCCCCTCAAAGCTTTGGCGTAAGTGGACGGCGTGTGCATTTATTCAAATCTATACTTTTTTTGTTGATATCACACCAATCGCACCATTCTTTTTACAATTACTTACAAAAAAAACTGATGTCTGTAATGTTTAGAATATGAGTGGCCGTTTCGTATCGGTAAATATAGATCCGAGCCGAAGGATCTATATCTCCGATACAAAACCGGACCACGAATTTTCTACATGTAAATTACTTCTAAAACTCAGTGTCCCCTAAACGTTCCAGTTTGGTGACCAAAAGTTGTCTTTGTTTTCCTGTCCAGTGAGCACTTATTCATCCTCACAGTCAGTCCGGAATCACAACAATCCCCGGGCTTTTTAGGCCCCGTCCACACTATGCCGGATAAATTTGAATCCGAATTTTTATTTATTCGGTTAGGCCTACCGTCCACACTAGTCCGGGCGAATCCGGAACAATTCTTCACCGAAAACGAATTTTCGAAATGGAACCGAATAAATGAAAATTCGGATTCAAATTTATCCGGCATAGTGTGGACGGGGCCTTAGATTGTCGAGTTTCTTTATCGGGTATTAAAGATAGGTCTAAATACTTCAAATTCTTCAAGCTATTTTGCGTTTGTATTGTATTGGTTATGGTAGCAGTTATTATATATTTCCAAATTGAGATATATTATTGATTAACATTTATAGTTTATGTGCGTGACAGAGAAAAACAATTTAAAATGTACATTCAAAATAATTAAAACTCTTGTTTCTCATTGACAGGGAATAACTGCTCGATACAGCTGGCGAATGAATGAATCATATTAAGAATATAATATCTTTTCTTATGTCGTATTAAGAAAAAAATCATAATCTTAGAACGACTGGAGTGAGCCATTTCAACAATGGCGCAATATCTTGAGACGCTAGGCAGAAAAAAGCCGTTTGAACCTCGTACTTTCGCGGAAACACATCTAGCAAGACGTCTAAATAAGCTCGATTTGACTTCTCTTGGTGTCGCCGCTACTTTGGGCGCTGGTATCTATGTAGTAACAGGTGTGGTGGCTCGAAATATTTCGGGTCCAGGAATCGTTATTTCGTTCCTAATAGCTGGAGTCGCTAGCTTGTTATCAGCTCTCTGTTATGCGGAGTTCGCTTCACGAGTACCCAAGACGGGTTCTGCCTATATCTACAGCTATGTTACTATCGGAGAATTCTGCGCTTTTGTAGTTGGTTGGAACTTAATTCTGGAGTATTTGATTGGCACGTCGAGTCTTGCTCGCGGATGGACGGAGTACCTTGACTCACTCCTCGATGGAAGATATCAGAATTTCACCGCAGAGCACATAGGCCACATGCACGCACCCCTCATTGCCAAGTTCCCCGATTTCCTAGCGTTATTTCTCGTTCTCCTTGTGACGATACCACTTTGTCTTGGAGTGTCTGTTACTGCCAGAGCTAACAATGTCGTCACTGCTGTGAACTTGGTAGTAATACTCTTCATCAGTATCGTTGGATTCTCTTTAGCTGTCAAGCAAAATTGGACCAATAACTTCTTGCCGTATGGTTTCTCAGGCGTCCTAGCGGGAGCCGCTACGTGTTTTTTTTCTTTTATTGGTTTTGATGTCATTGCTACGAGCGCAGAAGAGGCGATCAACCCTACCAAAGATTTACCACTATCAATGGTTCTGACTATCGGTAAGAGAAGAAAAGGGAAGGGAAGGGAAGGGAAAGGAAGAAGAGAGAAGGGAAAGGAAATGAAATGAAAGGAAAGGAGAGAATAAGAAAGAAAATTAAACGTACGAGAAACGACAGCAAGAAGTAAAGTATAATTAAAGAAAAGGAAAAAGAAAGTAGACAAACGAAGAAAAAAAAAAAAAAAAAGATGGAGATCTCAACATCAAATGCAAACCTTGTAGCTTTCTTTACCGGTTTTACTGAAACGTATGAAAAAATTTACTAGTAACAACTGATTGACACAACGAACACTCAGGAACAGTCTAACATTATCAAAATCAGACTGCGATAATTTGTTCCTCGATAAAATACTAAGAGTTAAGCGATTTCCAAGTTCGCTAATTAACTCGTGGAATTTCCTCGTCTTCTCCTAAAGCAAATTACCAATCGTTACGCGGTTGTTACGTCAAATGAACAGTGAACTTCACACATCAATTAGTAGAGAAAAATTTGAAAAAATCAAGCGATATAAAGTTATGTTTTCTGGGCCATCGGCAGAGGGCTATTTTGTCTTCTATCTGGAACGTTCTCTTTTGGGATAGAATATAACCTGTCACTCGACCTTCAAGAAGATGATATAATCGTTAGCGACAAATTTAGAAGCTAAAAGAATCGACAGGCGGGAGAGGAGTCTACGAAAAGATGCCGTTAAATAATTGGATAAACACGGACAATTTGTGGCGAAAAAAATACTTAGATGTCGATCTCATTACTCAAACGGTTTTATCGCGATGTTTGACTGTAAAGGACTTGACTGGTTTAGGGATTGGGAGTACTCTAGGTGCTGGTATCTATGTTGTTGCTGGTGAAGTTGCTCGTTCTACAGCAGGTCCTGGTGTCGTTATTTCATTCCTTATAGCCGCAATCGCTTCTGTTTTTTCAGGACTCTGCTATGCTGAGTTTGGAGCTCGGGTCCCAAAGGCTGGCTCAGCTTATATTTATAGCTATGTTACTGTAGGAGAGCTTTGCTCTTTCATAATAGGGTGGAATCTTATTCTGGAGTATGTTATTGGAGCGTCTTCTGTCGCGCGAGCTTGGAGTTCGTACTTCGATTCGATGTTCAACGAACAAATTCGAAATTTCACTTTAGAACGTGTTGGTGAAATTAATGTCCCGGGACTAGGAAAATACCCCGATTTTTTCTCGTTTGTCTTAGTGGGAGTAATCACGATCATTCTTGCCGTAGGAGTGAAAAACTCTTCGCGATTTAACAATGTAGTAACCTGCGTCAATCTCTTTGTCATCGTCTTTATCTCGCTGGTCGGCTTTTACTTCGCGAAGAAAGAAAACTGGACTAAAGATTTTCTACCGTTCGGTTTTTCGGGCGTGTTGTCGGGAGCAGCTACGTGTTTCTACGCGTTCGTTGGCTTTGATGTTATTGCGACGACCGGAGAAGAAGCGAAAAATCCAAGCAAGACAATTCCAATATCAATTGTTCTTTCACTTGGTAAGGTCTGATTTAAATCACTGTTTGGTAGTAGTACCTGTTAAAGTATTTCATTGTACTAGTTGAAATTACTGAGGGTATTTAAAAATACTGATAAATTTACTCGAAATTTAAAGATTTTTTTTCTTTCTTCGTTGTCTCATAACTGTCATTGGTACAAGAAATATCATCAAATTTAGAGTAAAAGTTTTTCATTCTATTTTATGGAAGCAAAAATCTGTTTTGCTTGAATTTGGATCCCGGAAATATGGGTTAATCTCGGCTGATCAGTTATCGCTATCAGTTTTAGGTGAGTGAAACGTTTTGAATTAAGTCGTTTCGAACTTTCTGTCGTGCGAAATATATGCAAAGTGATCCTCAAAGTGCTCCTCAAAGTTGAATCAAATGAGCTACATCGGAATGCTTTATAGGTCGTAAGAAAGCAGCTTATATCTCTTGGTATTCAAAATAGTTTAAAAAGCCGGTTTATTCGTACCAAGGCAGTATAGTATTTTTGAATAATTCATAAGGATTTTTGAGTAATTTATAGGTATGTATGATGAATTTATAGGGATTTTTCTCTCGTTCAAATGCTTCAATTTGGAATGCCCGAAATTTGAATACGACCAGAGCTTACCCAGCAGATTACGCTTCATTTCAACGACACAAAAGACACAACTACAACGAACAACATACAGCGGCAAGTGATAAATGATTTAAGACCTAAAACAAGCAGGGCCATAGCCACCAGTACGGTTGGTCGCCCCCCCCCCCTCCCCCCGATGATCGTATTAAGATACTAAAAATAAATCCCTCTCCGCTGTAATTTTATCTATTTATTGCCTCCCCCTGCTAATTTGAATCATACTGCCTGCTTCCGAAAGATTAAATATTAACTCCCATTTAATCTTATTGCAAATTCGTTTTCTCGTTTATAGGAATATGTTTCATCGCTTACTTTGGAGTGTCCGCGGCGCTTACCCTCATGTGGCCCTACAATCTTCTTCCAGAACGAGGGGCCTTACCCAAGGTGTTCGCCCTACGAGGTGCCGCTTGGGCCCAGTATATCATAGCTGTGGGAGCCCTGTGTGGTCTGACCGCCAGCCTTATTGGTGGTTTATTCCCACTTCCACGGCTCTTCTACGCAATGGCCAACGATGGTTTGATTTTCAAGTGGTTAGCTCGCATACACCCGAAGACGGAAGTACCTATCATCGCGACCGTCGTATCTGGTGTACTTGCTGGGTTCCTAGCCCTGATATTCGAGCTCCAAGAATTGGTAGAAATGATGTCTATTGGTACTCTTCTCGCCTACACTGTGGTTGCCTTTTGTGTCCTGTTGCTAAGATACAAGCCTGGTACCATAGGTGTTACCATGACGACGCTTTCTGACTCTGAACCTCCGCTTGTGACCAAGAACGAAAGAATCAAGCTTCTAGCCGACCCCACTAAGTCCCCGACAGAAGAGACCTCCTTGAGAGCTACCATTTGCATCTGCATTGCGTCTGCGTTGTTCATCTTCGCTAGTGCGCTGGGAATCTGGGGCCAGGACGCAATTCTCGCTCACAAAGGATGGGCCATATTTCTAGCGTGCGTTATCGGTGTCCTCATTCTTGTGACCCTCATGTATTTGTTCCGCCAGCCCAAGAACGAAACGCCCCTCCCATTTATGGTCCCTTTAGTGCCCTGGATTCCTCTTTTGTCCATATTTGTGAATATTTTCCTGATGCTCAAACTGTCTTATCTCACCTGGATTAGATTTGCTGTCTGGATGGTTATCGGTAAGTCAACCATACTGTACATTGTTCTACATCATTTAAAAACTTTAAAGTTTAGAAGTTATTACATTTTCAATTTTTTCGAATTAACAATTACAGTCTCGTTTATTCAGTTTATTCAGTTTACTTATTTCAGTATCATAATATTGACAAATACCAAAGGGAAAATGAATATTGCACAACTTTTACCTTATATTTTCCATCAACTTTTGCATCATCATCATCATCATCATCATC